TTTCTCCTTTGGTGCCAAATGAAGGTGGAGGTGGCGTAATGACAAGTCTCCGCTTACCACGCGCTTGGTCTTTTTCTTTTATTGCTCTAGTGAAATTGGTACCGATCGACCTGCAGTCAGGAAGCCTAGCTGGCTTGGGCGGAAACCGATCCAGGACTTGGGGGTCTACCTGCTGCCAAGCACCTCCGTCCATTTACAGTTCAACTGGCACTGACCTGCGCAGCGGCTGGTCCACGGCATTATATGGATCACATCACATTAGAAAGCTGCTAGAGCTGCTATGAGTTAGAATAGAAACATATGGCATCGAAATAAGATTCGATCATCCACATACTTGATCGAGAGCTATCGAAAAGTGGCCCTAACACCAGGAAGGATGGCTCTGACAATGAGATGCGCTAACTCCACCAAATCATCTACGGTATTTGAATCCTCTTCTCAACGAGAAGACCCTCGATCCAGACGGTGTTGCATTTTTTCAGTTTCAATCCATAGTCCCATTCATTCACATCTCAACAACCCACCGTTCGAGAGCTCTTTGCCAAAGGCTATGCCTTCGGCAAAGAGTACTTCATTCTCCGGCAGAGGGTGCTTCACAGCGGTCTTAAACTGCCAATGGAAGAGCCTACTCGTTCCTGTCCAATGCTCATCCCCGGACAAGAGTTGCGCTACCTTCAAACCTAAGTGGTATAATGTGACAAATTTTTCTCTCTTCGGAACCTAGAGCAGACGATATTTTTGCGAATATGTCAACATAGCTGCTATGAAAGTTTCGTCCAGAGAGAAAAACTTCTCGTCCAGAGAAGAAAACCATGCTCCGCAACTTTATCTGTGCTCCGCTAACCCACCTGAAACTCACTAGTATCCTTGTTAATATTAATCTTCTTAACCCTACTTGATATCTGAATTCATGATCCGCCCACTACTGAATAGGACCAGTCACGGGCCTACTAACAGGGTACAACATCATTGTGTGAAACACATCAGGGAGTCATACTTTTCTGTTGGGGAGGAGGGGAGGGGTATCTGGTTGTTGTTGGGAGAGGGGAGTCGTATGTGCCTTCGAGAGAAATTTGGCGTGTTGGGGAAAAATTCCGGTTTCTGACTTTTCGCGATACCCCCCCCCCGCTCGACAGCGAAATTGTCGGGGAAAAGTAGGATACTCGATTGCGGAAAAAGTGATAGTAGGAAGTTAGGGAAGGAGGGGTGGGGTCGCTCCACGGCGGCGGCGGCGCGCCGACACCCTCATAGATAGTGGGCGGGTCGAATTCTAACACCAACATTTCACACATCACGATGCTGTACCATGCCTACTAATCCTGGGCCTGGTAAGCATTTCAAAACTTTTTGTGAACCAACAAGGTTATGAACTGGATCTTTTAATGGTTGCATGCCGTTTCCTCTAGATCATCTTTCTTAGCCAGAGGCCTAAGCCTGGCTGAAGATTTGAGAGAATTCGAGTCTTCTCTCGTAAACGTTTCCCAACCTCCTGTTTGGAAGTATTTAATATGCCGATTCGGACCATCAGCGGAGGAATGGAAGCAATGCTAAACCATATTAATTATTAGTAAGCACCCGATTACTGGCTCCATAGTTCCATTTTAGCTTTCATCCCTGGGGCTTGTAATCCTTTCGTCGACTCGCTACTGAGGCAGAATGGTCAAACCGTCGTAGCGAGTGGTCGTAAGTCCCAATTCGTCAACTATCTACCTGTTCTATCGCGTACTAGCTTTTCTACGCGCCTGTGACACTGCCCTAAGTTTTGCTTGGTATACTTGAGAATTTTTCTCGAAGGCTGGAGAATATGTAATTATTTTACTTGGTTTTTCACTATCTCACACTTTCCAACCTCTTCATAAAATAGCAACTTGCAGCGCGATTAGTTTTCCTTTCACGATTGTCATGCCATTCATTCCTACTGCCAAATCAAGCCGCGATTTACGGAGGCAGCTTCTAAGGACAGTTCGCGACGGGATGGTGCATTTTGCATTTCTGCTACTTCGCATCGACGTGTTACATCTAGACACAGGGTACAGCATCGTGATGTGTGAAATGGTGGTGTCAGTACGACCCCCTCCACCTAGGAAAGGGTCCAGGTACGACCCTCCTCGCATCCGACACACCTACCGCGACCACTTTTCTATCAAATTTTTCCAAAAATTTCCCACATTTCGAGTAGTACCCGCAAAATTCCCGGTGGTGGTTGGGTGGAGTAAAGAAACGAGGAAAAGCCGCGCGGAGAATCATACGACCTCGCAGCAGCCGAGTACAACCATCCCGCCCGCCGCCCTGGTGTTTTCCTACAAGGATGCTGTATCCTGTCTAGACAGCCCTTCTCGATTGTTGTCAGTTTTTTCCATAATGTAATGTGTATGAGCTTACGTCCGTCTATTACAGGGTCTTAGCGGTTAAGCACAGACTGAGGCCTTTCAAACCGGGAAGTAGTGAAGCCAACGAAAGCTGCAATATCTCCCCGTCGCCGAACTGCCGCCGCGAATCTGTGTGTATCGCCTCCAGTATGGATTTACACAAGCACGGGATAACTCTATTATTTAGTTTCCGTCTAAGGGCACGTGGAAAAACGCAAACCTCCATTCGTTAACTTTGACAATTCATGTCCCACTCGAAAATTCAGTTGGCGCGTCTATTTCGGTCTAATTAATGCTGTTTTTTTTCGAAAGGTCTTTTGAACGCAATGCTAAATTCATGTTGATCTTACATTGAAAGAGGTCAGGCGGAGTAAAACTCGTCTTCTTGATTCTGTAGAAAAGCTGTATTCGTTATTTATAACACTGAGGGACGGAATGGAATCAGTATTCGCTAGGGCGTGAGAGGTCTGGACACGCTTCACTACTGACCGGTGTGCGTGGCACGCGACAGAATTGTCACTTCACTTCGCTCCTATCGAATCTCTCTTTGATCTGAGCTTACATGGCGTTGACGTAAAAAAAACCTTGCGTTCGCACCTTCCCGACTCCATCCCTTGGTCTCTTTTTACAAATTTAGATAACCAGACTCTTTTTTGCTTCATTATGGCTCAAACGTCTTTGGCCTTTTTCACCTTTGCCATTGACAAACACAATAACGTGTATACACTAGAATCGACAATGAAGACCGAGGAAGGGAACGTCCGGCAAATCGACGACGCTGCTCTCTAAAACGAGTTTGTGTATCTAGAAGGTGCTTGTAGGCGAACATTTATGTAGTTAGTAACATCGCAAACCGTCCGGGGCGGGGAGAGAAGGGCGGAACGAGCTCGCCCGGCTACCCTGCTCTACCAATGGTGATCGGCACGCGATCGATCCAGGAAGATAACAACCAATGGAGGGAACGCTGCAGATGGAATCAGTCCATCCCTCTTGAAGTCGTTCCGACTAATTGCGGCGATACCAAATTGACAGTATTCACTCAGATATACTGATGAAATAGTCGCAATATCAAAGGCGCCGAGATTCAGACGCCCCTGACGAGAATCGCCATCGTTCACACCTCACCATTCATTTCCATCTGCCGTAACTTAGTCAATCAATCGATATAGTGGGTTCCTTTTGTCAGCCGTCGACCAAATGTCTCCAATTTCAGCTCGAGATATCAGCTGTCCGGCGTGCGTTCAAGTTGGAACATACGAAAATCTCGTCGATCACTTCTGTCGTAGTCAACTAGGTGAGGAACTATAAGACAACAGCTTTCGAGCTTTTCACAGCAGTTTTTGATTTCCTAGGGAGTTCGTTCTACAGGTGATTCGTGGAAAAACATAGCAAATTTCAGTGCTGAAAGCTAGAATTGCAAGGATCACCGCAACCCATGTAAGCTTACGAAATGCAAGAAGCCTCAAGAAAGGCGACCGAAGGAGATCCGTAGAAGATACGGGTGAGTCCCTTTTCTCACTTTACAGCTTGGTTACCTGTTAGTCTTACATTTACGTTTGAAAATAATCTTGCGCCTCGTTGAGGGCTG